GGCCTGGGCGCTGTCCCTCAGCTCTTCAGCTCAAGGCTAGCGCTCTACCACTTGAGCCACTTCCGGCTTTTTTCTTTTTGCTTATGTGGTGCTAAGGAATCAAACCCAGGCCTCATGCATGCAAGGCAAGCGCTCTACCACTGAGCCACCTTCCCAGCCCTTCCATGCTTTCTTGTTTCCTCTATTCCTAGGGATGTCTGAATGCTATTTGCCTTCATTAGTATTTTCATTATTCTTCCTACTAGTGGATGGTCTCTATTTGGATGAGATGGGAAATGGTTCTGTATGTTTATTTGGTCATACAAGCTTTGAAATCCATTTTGATTTGCTATCCTTCTGACAGGCAACTTTCTTTTTTTTTGTCGGTCGTGGGGCTTGAACTCTGGGCCTGGGCGCTGTCCCTCAGCTCTTCAGCTCAAAGCGAGCGCTCTACCACTTAAGCTACAGGGCCACTTCCAGTTTTCTGGTGGTTTATTGGAGATAGGAGTCTCACAGTCTCTCCTGCCTAGGCTGGCTTTGAACTGAGATCCTCAGATCTCAGCCTCCTGAGTAGCTAGGATTACAGGCATGAGCCACCAGGGCCCGGCAACAGGCAACTTTCTTGAGTTGGACTATAACTCCAAGAATTGTTGATGCTGTTTTTCAGATATCCTTGGATACATTGTCTGACATTTCCTTCTTTCTTACACGTCTTACACAATTCCACTCAAGTTTTCATTTCTTAAAAGAAGCATTTTCTTCAATTAGAATTGTAATTGATATGTACAACATATCATGTTGTTATTTCAGTTAATTGTTACTTGCAGTACAAATGTGCAATGTTATCCACATTATGGACTATGACAAATATGGTGTTTTTCACATTTATAACAATTTTTAAATTAGATGACTTAATTCACAATAACTACACATCAATTATTAGTTGTTTCTAAGTGAAAAACATTTACTTGATGGAATATATGTTTGTGCAAATGTATGATTTTAGGAATGAAGAAGTTACACTACCTGAAATCATATTTTTACTTTTTTTAATTTTTATTTTTAAATTTGTAAAATTAGAATTTTAAATCTATAATTTGTTTTTTAGGTTAACTCCCTCCTTTAAAAAAACATTGTTTCAGATGGTAGCTATCTCTAATATTTAATTGCTGTATATTTTAAAACTATTTCACAATACCTTATTAAATATTTTTGTCATGCTGCACCAAGAAGCTAGTATTTTATCTATTTTAGTAAACCCAAATTAACTATTGGTTTTACTAATCACAGCAGCTAATCTTTCCTCTCTTGTTTGATAACAATCGTTTTCTTGTTTTCTCTTTTTCCTAGGGATGTCTCAGTGCTATTTATCTTCATTAGTTTGCTCATTATGCTTCCCACTTGGTGGATTGTCTCTTCCTGGATGATATGGGGAGTGGTTCTATTTGTTTATTTGGTTATAAGAGCTTTGAAATTATGGAGAACAGCCAAACTGCAAGTGACCCTAAAAAAATATGCTGTTCGTCTAGAAGATATGGCAGCAAATAGCCGTGCATTTACTAACCTTGTGAGGAAAGCTTTACGTCTCATTCAAGAAACTGAAGTCATTTCCAGAGGCTTTACACTGTGAGTTCATTTTATATTTTTTGTAAGTGCTTCCTCTCTGCCACATAATTTAAGGAAATGATTTATTACCCATTTTCATTTTTGAGTGTTGCATTTTTAAGATAAAAGGAGATATCCTTTGGCATTTATTACTGCTAACTAAAGGGATAAAGATATAGTTGTAATATATAATATAATCTACTTTGACAAATCAAAGTATTTTGAAAATCATGATTATTTTCTATAAATAAGAAATAGAGATTTCCTGACACTGAATTTAGCATGCAGTAGGTGCTCAATAAATGTTTAGTCCTTTTATCCCCTATCAAATATCCTTTTCCCAGTTTAAGTGGTCGATATGTCTGCCGTGAATTCATTTTGAAAGGTCTCAGTATGTATTAATAATACTCTTTAGGAAACACAATCAAGTGTTATAGCATTGGTATTTTCAGAATATCATGCAAATGATGATGTTTGTTATTCCCGCTGTATACTCAACCAGTCTAGCTGTGTTTAAACTGCAAATCAACTTTTACTGAAAGGAAAGTTACATTTATAGAACTATGTTCCATAGATTATGCTAGTCACTTCTTCATACATCTAAAGGTATATAATTGTATAGAGCAAACAATCAAATCCATTCCCATCTGACTTAAAAGCGTGTTTCCTACTAGCTGTTTCCACTAGGTTGCTGGCTAACTGCTCACAAATGGCAGTTGGACTACAGTGCATTTAATAACCATTGCAGTCTATAGGTGGGGGAAAGTAAGTATGTGGTGGATTTGATCATTGCTTTTAATTAGCTGTAACTGAAAAACTAATGAAAATCAATTTTGAAAACACTGGTAGTCTTTGCATCCCTTATTCTGCTCTGCTCTAGAATAGTACTCCTCTTGACATAAAGGCTTATGTCTGGGAAATTATGAAACAGGAGAGGAGAAGAATCTTCAGTAATCCTCACATTCTGCATTCTGTTTTGTTCTGCACAACAATCCTGAGTGTGTAGATGAGACATAAAGATTTCATACCTCAGCTCATTTCAAAATAAAACAATACTCAGTGTGCTCTGATAGTCTGATGTTAGGCTTCCATTAAACTCAGTCCATTTGTTCTTAATTTGTGTATTAAGGTTTGAACTCAGGGCTTTGTGCTTGACAAACAAGTAGCTTAAAACCTGTGCTGTGCCCCCAGCCCTAAGTTCACTTCTTGTTGGGAAAGAAAATCAATTTTTCTAATTCCGAAAGTTAAAAAGCATCCTTAAAGTGAATAATCTCTCATTTTTATTCTTGACTCATACAGCATTTAATTGAGAGCCATATATCCAATTAATGCTTAGGCATGTATAGAGGAGCCTATGACTTTTGTCATTTCCAACTTTTACCTGGATATACAGAATTGACATGAAAAGGTAAAGTAGGCCAGGTGCCTATTCTCAGTTATGATAGCAGATAGGCAAATAAAATATTGGAAGAGATAATGTTTCATTTGTCTCCATTTATCAGGACAATGGATTGGAAAAATTATAAGGAATAATAAATTCAGAATCATAATATTTAGAAATATTTTCAGTTTATAACATATAGTAAAGTAGATTAGTAGAAGTAGCAGGGCCTTATATTGTCATGAGTGCTGTTTTGTTTTTTATCTCAATTTGTTGTCTAGCCAATAACCCTTTTTTGTCTTTAATCCCTTATTCTAAAATAATGCCGGTTAGTCATCATGCCTGTTTTAATTTGGTTTAACATTTTTAAAGTTTTGAATTAGTTGTCTTTTTTTAGAGATTGGTGATTATAGTATAGGAAATTTATAAAAGCTGATATTTGGTTTTGCTATTAGGAAAAGTTACTGATTAGGTTTAAAAAAAAAAAACTACTATCCAGTTACTGTCATATTTAATCCTGTCTTTTTTCCGTTGTAATACAACGCATTGTAACATTTACGTACCATTTATCTTAAGGAAAGTGCCATGAACTATGCTCCTCTTAAAGAGCTTTGAGAGTAGCTATCCTACCACACAGTAACCCTTACTTTGCCTTTCTACTTGCATTCCCCTGTTCGCCACTGGTCCTGTTATCTTTCTGCGTTCTCCTACTTCATTTTGAGTAGGTAAGTGCCAGTGGCTGCAGGTGGGTAAGTAATGTTGCCCTACTTTTGTGAATGTACAGAATATATTTCTATACAGTGTTTGGTTGTTCTGTACAAGTGGCCAAATATATGATTAATAAACATATTTAATATATATTAAGCATGTGAAAGTATTGATAAGCCCTTCTTACATCCTAATGGATATAAGTTTTGAAAACTGAATATAAAGTAGCCCCACTTTAGTGTAAGCAGGCAGCGTATCTTTTTGCAGAAGAAATACAAATTCTTATGTAAATATTCCTACATTTCCTTTCTGTCTGAACTAAAATTCATTGTTGATCCAAATCAGAGAAAACCTTTTTGTCATTTTGATTTTTATTTGTCTTTTTTTTTTCTATCGACTATACATGTATCAAGGAAATGGCTATTTGTAACACTTGATTTGCAATACTTACAATCATTTTCTAGTAAAAAGTATGAGAAAGGTTTTTTTCTAAGTGTAATAGAATTGTGGATTTAGAAAACAAAAACTTTAGGACACCTGCATAGTTGTATCACATTTTACTTTTCAAGTTTGCTTGACAGGGTCAGTGCTGCTTGCTCATTTAATAAAGCTGGACAGCATCCCAGTCAGCATCTCATCGGTCTTCGGAAAGCTGTCTACAGAACTGTAAGAGCCAACTTCCAAGCAGCAAGGCTAGCTACCCTATATATGCTGAAAAAATATCCTTTTCTGTCTGTGCATGAGAATAAGAAGTACTTCTAAAGTCCTAAATACAAATATTAGAGTTGCAGCCTGTAAAAGTTAATTAGAGATTGAGATTGCCTATTTGGAAGCTAATTCTATCATCACTTCTATTTTAAAACTGGAAATGAGTTCCAAGAGGAAAGATAAGAACAGACAGGAAGAAAGTTCTACTCTTATGTGGCTCATTTTTTTAAACAGGGATAAACTGTAAAGTCCTTCCCTCTACTAGTCCGAAGAATAAAGTCTTAAGAACCTGCTTTGGTAGGTCTAAATTTTTAAACATGAGTAAACATGGCAAATTTGTCATGACACAATAGTAAGCTGGTGACAGGAAATCGTTCCCCTTTTAGAAACAGACTCCAAAGCCAGGTTGCCTGAGTTTATATTTTGTCTATATAAGTTACTGCCTAGATAACCTTAAGCAAGTTTCTTAAGTTCTTTGTCTTCATCCTTAAAGAGCAATGGTCTCATAATTGTCTTCATTATATTTTTGCTAAGGTCAGTTGAGTTGTTGCATACAAACTTACTCATACAGGACCTAGTATATAGGAAGCACTCAAAGACTGCTTTACAGTAAGTCTGCACTTACATTTAGTTAGCCAGAGAGTAAAGGTGAATTAGATCCTTGTTTTACTAATCATCCATAGTTACCTTAAGTTATGAGTTATACTCAGCAGCTTCAATATGCTGCATTCTACAACACTGATAATTAAAATACTTAAAGTGCACAGAATGCTTTGGATTCTCTCATTATATTTTTACACAAACCTTCCTAGCCAGATTTTCTTATCTCTGAGAAAACAAAAATAAACGTTAACTAACTTGCTTAGTCGCACACATACTATTTTAAAATGTATAGACTATGAATTATGATTTATAAATATACATACATCTTCTGTGTAAGTTCTTTTGAAAATATGACTAACATTTTCACCAAGAACTTGCCCATTGATTTACCCTATTGCTTAAATGCCTGAATGAGATAGAGTGAAAAACATTTGTACCACTTTTAAAGACATTTGAGTCTGGTCTGTAGATAAGCCGGTGCTCATAAGGCAGTACAAATGCTCAGGATCCTTCCTCCATAGTTGGACATGTCCTTGGCTCATAGAATCAGGGAAGGGTTTTAGAGAGGTGAGCTCTAAGTTGCTGATATGAAGTTGAACCTCAAAAGAGAATTAGGAGTTGATCATGAGAAATGATACTGCATTCCAAGTAGAGAAAAGTAGATGGAAAAAAAGTAGAGGTTTGACAGTGGCATGTAAACTACAAGTTAGTCACCCAGTGAGTTTTCATTGAGCATAAGTTCAGTGCTAAGCACTATGCTAGTCACTAGCTGTGCCAAGGTCAATAATAATAGATATCATTCCTGCCTTGAGGGAATTTATAATTTACTGGAGGGGAAGGAAATGAGGAGCAGGTTCCCATGCCACTGACCATTCTAAATACTAAACACTTGTAGAGAACAAGATAAGATTCTTCTCCAGGGACTTTACCTTCTAGTGGATGAGATGAAATCAATTTTTAAAAATGAAGAGTTAGGAGTGAGTAGCTCAATAGTAGAGCACTTACCTATCATGCTCAGACCTTGATAATAATAAGCTCAGATCCTGAGTTTAATATTGCAAGAAAAGAAAAAAAATGTTTAAGAAAAGTTTTAAGATTGTTCAGGTACAGTAATGACTGTCAAGGAAAATATGCCCAGGGTATAGGACAGAGTGTTGTTGGTGCTGCATCTGTTGGAATGAGAGGGAAGACCTCTCTGAGGAGCTGGCATTGAAACAGATTTGAACTGTGAGAAAAATCTAGGTGAAGAATGCTCATTTAGATGGGCCAGTAAGTATGCAGATCTTGTGGTAGGAATATATGTAGCCTGACGCAAGTATAGAAAAAAAGATAATCTTAACTAGAGTGGGTAGGTTGAGGGTTGAAATACGAAATGACATTGAGATGTAGACCAGGGCTCGATAATACTCTTCTATACAATAAACTTTTACAAATTGAATGAAAAAGGAGTCACCAACCATTTCTTCTAAAAGATCCCTAAGATACCTAAACTTTTATATGACTGATCAACAGAAATATACAAGATCAATAATGAGAACACAGCTAAAACCATTAATGTGAAAGACATTAATTACAAGATGATTGTGTATGTGATGTGACACTGTGGTAGCAACTTTTTAAATGTAGGAGACAATTGTTCATGTCTTACAAAAATGCAAATCTCTAAAACTGACATAAGAATTTGAAAACGTGAAGAGACTGAACGTGTGATTTTAAAATATTTAATTTAGTCAGGCACTGGTGGTTCCTATCTGTAATCCTAACTACTTATGATGCTGCGATCTGAGGATCACGGTTTGAAGGCAGCCTGGACAGAAAAGTTCCTGTGAGACACCCCTCAAAAACCAGAAGTGGAACTGTGACTGAAAGTGGTAGAGCACTAGCCTTGAGCAACAAAGTTCACAGATAGTGCCCAGACCCTGAGTTCAAGTGCCATGACCAACAACAACAAAAATTTTTTTTCAGAAGAAAACAGTAAAGGTTCTTGACTCTACCATGACACTCTCTCCAAGTTATATTAAGTATAAACAAACCAAAACAACCAGCAAGGTGCCTGGAGCAATATATGTAGTAGATTGCCATTACATAAAAAGGGCTGTGACTAGATCCATAGAGATAAATATGTTGTACAAGTGTGTGTGAGTGTGTGTATATTGATTATCATATGCTTCCAGGTACATATATCTATGTGGATTTGCTTTTTCATATATACATAGAGTATCTTGAAGGATGCAGAACCTCTGATAATTGGGATTGCTTTTGGCTTTGAATAGGGGAATTAGGTAACTAGGACTAGGGTAGAAGCAGTTTTCACTTTATCCTTCATGAATTTTGATTCCTGAGTGTATGACCAATTCAAAAACTAAAAAAATTAACTGTAAAATGCAGATATTTTTACGGTAAAGTTAAAAAAAATTTCATTCCATAGAGAAGGCAAAAAAGCTCCCCTACATTATTTTATTTGTGAAAGTAGTATATCATAATCTAAATATGATTTATTATAAGGACTAAAAATTATAGAATACCCTCACAGTTATAAAATCTTTAATGGAATATTTATAAATTTAATCTAGCAGTGAATCAAAGGGTTTGACCAAATAGTCAAGAGCTAAAAGCTTAAGGATGGTTCCATCTCAAGAATAAATATAATTGTTTTGTTTCATTTTTTCACATTTTGTTTTTAATAAAAGTCAATTGAAAAAAATCCATATAACATTTACTATCCGTAAGAGTTTGTTTTTTTTTTTGGTGGGAGGGGTCCGGTCGTGGGCCTGAACTGGGGGCCTGGGCGCTGTACCTCAGCTATTCAGCTCAAGGCTAGCACTCTACCATTTGAGCTGCAGCGCCACTTCCGGCTTATTTTTTTTTGCTTATGTGGTGCTGAGGAATCGAACCCAGGCCTTATGCATGCAAGGCAAGCGCTCTACCACTGAGCCACCTTCCCAGCCCCAGTAAGAGTTTTATTTTGAAATTTTCAGCATTTAGTAAGGTTTTTTTTTGGGGGGTCCGGTCGTGGGGCCTGAACTCTGGGCCTGAGCACTGTCCCTCAGCTCTTCAGCTCAAGGCTAGTGCTTTACCACTTGAGCCACAGTGCCACTT